GAAGGAAGGAAGGAAGGAAGGAAGGAAGGAAGGAAGGAAGGAAGGGGATGAGAATAAAGAAGGAAGGAGGGAAGGAGCGAAGGAAGGAAGCTATACACCGAGAGTCACGCGCACACACACACACACACACACACACACACACACAGAGACAGAGAGAGATTGCGCACGAGCAAAGGGAACAAAACACGTGTCTGCACAGACACACAACTACCAAACTAATCGACCTGAACAGAACCTGCTCTGGCCTTCCGGATTAAATTCTATCACACCAGACGAAAAAATCACCAACGCGGCGCTGCGGGTTTAAACCAGCAATACAGAAAATCGGGCGGGAGAAGGGCGTTCACGTCCTCTTCTGCCCTGCGGACTTAAGGGGGGAACCCACAAGAGAGGGTTTCCCCCCTTTTTTGTTGACCAACACAAACGCTCCCCTCGCATCCCTTCCGGGGTGGACGAGGATCGCGAAGAACTTCGATTGTGCCCACCAGAGGGGACTTTTTTTTCCCCCTTGCCGCCTGGAGCCGTGGGATGGGGATCCTCTAAAGGTCATCCAAACGCTTCCGAAGGCGCCATATGCCTGCTACTGCTGCCGCCTGGCGGCCTGCCTGCCCCCTTCAGCCTCGCTCATCCCTGGGAGAGAAGCTTTGCGCGCCCCGAAAACTCATCTAGCCGAATCAACAGTGGTGCCAAAAAAAACCAAAAAAAAACCGGGTGAATTTTTCACACAGAAAGCAGGTTTTTGGGATACAACTACATAAAGGGTGGGTTTTTTGCTCCCAGGTTCCATGGTCCTGTGTGTGTGTGTGTGTGTGCCCGCGCGCGCAACATTTTGCTTTTTCTTCCCGAAGGGCTCCGGTGGTGGAACACAACTGCTACCGGATTCCCCCCCAAACCTCCTTCCCAGCCAGAAAAAAGAAAAAGAAAAAAACTAACAGCAGCCGGAAAAACACAGACCGTCTCAGCGTGGAATCGAAAGCAAACTCGGCCCGAGCCAAAACTCCCAGCCCACCGCCCGCCTGGAATTAGCCTTGGCCCAGCGACCCCCCTCCTTTTCCTCCAGACCGCCCAACAAGCCTCTTCAGAGGTCCAAAAAAAAAAAAAGAGAGAGCCAGGATCAGGTGACTCCTTTGCCCCCCCCCAATGGAAGACAGGTAAAGGTAAAAGTTCCCCTCGCACATCTGTGCCAGTCGTTCCTGACTCTAGGGGGCGGTGCTCATCTCCGTTTCAAAGCTGAAGAGCCAGCGCTGTCCAAAGACATCTCCGTGGTCATGTGGCCGGCATGACTAGATGCCGAAGGCGCACAGAACGCTGTTCCCTTCCCACCAAAGGTGGTTCCTATTTTCCTATTTACATTTTTTACATCCTTTCGAACTGCTAGGTTGGCAGAAGCTGGGACCAGTCATGGGAGCTCACTCTGTTACAGGGATTCGAACCACCGAGAACTGCCAACCTTTCTGATCAACAAGCTCAGCGTCTTAGCCACTGAGCCACCACGTCCCATTACAGATTTTTAAACCTGAACTGTTTTTATTACCAGAAAAACCTGATAAGCAAAGTATATATTTAATAGATAGCCACTGCATCCCACGACCATGGAAGAGAGGGGTCTTAAAATCTGGGCACTTGGAAATCTAGCTCTCAAGGTGCAAGCTGGGTTGCTGGAGCTTTCCTTGCCCTGCAGGGAGAGAAGCAGCTTCTGGTGGTGGGAGTGTGTATTCCCTATATTTACTCACACACACACACACAGACACACACACACCGACAATCCCAAGTGCCTTTTCCCCATCCAGGTGAAGAAGGCGCCTGTGCCGTGAGGAGGGGGCACTCCCACCCTGCATTGTCTTCCTCTGGCAGCTGTTCTTGGAGGAAGCATTTCCTGCCTCCCCTGGAGGGGAAACGGCAGTTAGGAGACAGCTAAAGGCCTCTGTGGCCGAGGAGTGGCTGCTCCCCCATGGAATCATAGCAGCTGGAGAGCCAGCGTGCCTTGAGCATAGGCAGAGTGTCCTCTCCAGGCCAGTTGGAAGCTGCAGGGCTGAACCTGGCAGAGGTAGACAACGCTGGCGCTTTTTAGCTTTGCATTTTGGGTCTGGCCAGATGTGCAGCCCGTTGGGAGGATGCTAGAATGGCAGGCCAACCACTGGGAAACCACAGGCAGTGGGCTCGGCCCCGAGTTGGGTCAAAGAGATAACACTCTTTGCAGCTAACACACAAGAGGGGAATAAAGTCCAGAACAACTGGGAAACCACAGGCAGAGAGTTGGGTCAAAGAAATGGTGTGGCCCTCAACACACTTTGCAGCTAAGAGCGGAATAAAGTCTAGATTAATGGACAAGAAGGTCTAACCTCACCAAATAGGACCCCCTTCTGCTCCACCGATGTCCCCTGCAGCGTGGAATTCAAGAGAGACCCAGGCAAAATTCTCCATCTTCCTTTTGACAACCCCACATCTGACGCAAAGACCTCAGGAAAAGGATGCCAAGTCATGCATGAAACTGACCGGGCCCCGGGGTCCGTCAGAAGAAATGAATAAACTTGGATGGGACGTAAGAAGGATAGAAGGCCACCTGGAAGAAGATTCGTTTTCGGACGCCCAAGAGAGCAAGAATGAACTGCGATGGGCCTCCTCTCGAGGAATCTGGATTTCAGGGGGAGGGGGGAATTTGGAGAACTGCGGATTAAACAAGAATAAATCGAGTTCTCCTATCCTGAAGCCAAGATTCAAAAATAGACCAGGGGGTCTCTCTAAGCCCCTTCCTTGAGAGACCAAAAGAGTTTTTTTTCTGTCTTACAAGGAGCTTCCTCACTTTTGGACTTTGGAATTTGTGATGGAATGAGAAAAAAGGAGAAGCACAACAAAGCTACACTCCCGGCCTGGTCCATTTCTAGCAAGCTGTCTTCTCCATGAGACCACCTGAAAACGGGGCTCTCAAAACACGCTTTGCAGTGTCCAGAGATGAGTAGGATTCAGTTTTTATATTGGGGGGGGGAGGTTGGTGGGTGCTATCTACCAAAGGAACGGAGACACTCTACAGCTTCTGGGGGTGCAAATTCTCAGC